TCAGGCCGTTCCATTAGGCCCAACCCGCTAGCATACTTTTTGGAAAGCACCCTGTGAAGACGCGCACTGCTGGAGAGTTCATCAATGCCCTTGCAGAACGCCCTCCACGAAATTCTCTTCGCTTTCCTAATTTCTTTATTGTATTTCGTGAGTGAGTTTTTATTCTCATTCCACGAACCCGACGCATTGGCCTTATTGAATAGCTTTCTGGTCTCTAGTCTAAGCCTTGAAAGCTCTTCTTTAAGCGGCAGCTCGCATGGTAGGCATTATGGTAGGCACTGATCGGACATGGATGTCTCATTTGAGACATGCCATCCACCAACCCTACTGCCGATAAACTCAGTGCAAAGGGTGATGTCAACAACCTCTCCCCTAATTGCATTTATGAATGTCGGCTTATTGCCCTTATTCATAACCATTAATTTATTGCTATATATAAATTCAAGTAGGCACTCACCTCTTTTGTTTATATTACTGCTTCCCCAGACAGTATGGTGGGCATTGACTTCGCTTCTTATTATTAGTTGGAAGTTCCTCCTTCCACAAAAGTCCAATAGATCTTTCAGTTGCTCGTCCGGGTGGGCACAGTCTCCCGGGAGGAAGGATGAGCACACAATAAACTCTGTCCAACCCCCGGAAGACTTCACCTTCACCAACACAGCTATCTGATCCTTAGAACAGTAATCTGGAATCGGAAAATACGTTAGCCTTTTACTAAACAAAATGCAAGCCCTAGGCCTGCCCCAAATTGTATTATCATACAATAGCTCACCTGTTAGGCATTTAACCTGATCCTTCACTATGTAAGGCTCTTGGATAAGGGCGATATCGAGGTGATCCTTCATAAATCTATGAGCTGGAACATCAGTAGATGCCCTAGCATGCTGTAGATTTATTTGGATGCACCTCACAGCCATATCATTTTTTCCGGCTCTTGTCTATGGGCTTTGGCCCTTTAGAGAAAGACTTTACATGAGCCTTGCTTCTCATTGCCGCCTTTTTACGCATTTTTGTGGGCGCCTGCCCTTCCACAGCCTCTTTTGCCGTCCCAGGTGCCACGCTAGCCCCTCCAACAGCAGATACCGAAGCAGTACCGGGGTTCGCAATGGGCTTGGGCCCTTTAGGTTCACCCGGGACGCTTGTATCCAGCGCGCTGGTCGATGGTCCTTCCGTTTCCGCCGTTTTCGGAGCGACTTCAGACTTTCCAATGAGTTTTGGCTCTTTTGATTGGCTTGAAGTGCTCGTCGTTGTCGCGGTGGGCGTTGGTTTTTTATTTTGTCCTACCCTGCCGCCAGCACCTTGAGAGGATTTGCTTCCTTTGACCCGAACGGTAACACGGAAGAAGTTCAGGAAAAGTCGGAACTCTGCTTTCCGTAGATTTTCCAATCCGGAATCATCCACGGAAAAGGTGATGGAGCAGCCCCCGTCCTTTTCCTTATCCATTCTCAGCATCCTCCAGGATCTCATCTTGAGGCTGGGATTTTGCTTCCCTATCCTACTTAGGAATTTGTCCCTGGAAAGACTGACGGTTGTCTCGTCCTTTGGCACGTAGGTGACGCAGTCATGCTGTTTGGGCATGTCGTCGCCATCCAGTACCACGACGTTGCAACCGTCCCAAGGCTTTATCTTCAAGACCGTATTATCAAGGCTCATCCACTCCTTGGTGTTTTGATTATGGCATGTTACGGATGTCCATCCATCCCTTTGCAACGCTGCAGTGAATTGTGGATGAGAATCCACAACTTTATCCATTTCATCCATGCTATTTTGATTTTCCCCATCTGGACTTCGGATAGCCTTTCCTCTGGATGCAGTTTATGAGTGATGGCCACCTTGACCTGTGCTACTGCATCCCGATAAGAAGTCCTTGGGTTACCCCAAAGTATCTTATATAAAACCATACACAGTCAATTCTCCGATTAATTTTTTATCACAATATTTTGTTATATCTTATTTTCTGTTAAAATTATGAGCAGACCCATTCTTTTAGTAACCAGTATATTAATAATTACAGCAATTAGAGCCGATTTCAATTAAATTTGTGTAAAATGTGACGTATGTGATTAAAAAAAATTAATAAGATTTAATAGCAAAACATTATGTTTTTTTTTCTGTTTTCACTTTAATGGTATCAAATTGCCAGTTTATAATCTATTAAAAGCACATTATTAAATCTATTACCGTAAAATTATGTTTATAAAATAAACGAAAAAAATTCATATAAACAAAATTATTTTTAAAAATTCATTAAACACGAAATTGAATTTATCGCTATAGCAAATTCACAAATTCAGAAAATATAATCTTAATCAGTTGGCGCTATTCCAAATTTTAACCTTTAACCTTTCTGATTGTTTTCCATCATTTAAAAAGAAAAATAAATAGAATTGGAATTCTGGAAAACTATTAGTTCTCTTTTTTATTTATTTTTTATTCCGATATTTGAAACATTTATGTTTTTATAAAATCAAAATATGTTAAATAGATGTTAACGTAAATAGACCGCATCATTAGACACTTTCAGAATTAGAAGCTTAAAATCTCTGATACCAGACATGTAAAAATATTTTACATACTGTTACACAATTTAGCAATTACAACTTTCAAACTAATACGTTATTAGTATATTAGTATAGTACAATATGGTATATATAATATATATATACACTATAATATAGTAATATATCTGATTCAGCTTATAAGTTGCAATTGCTGAATTTTATAACAGTGTATAACAATTAAAGTAGAAACAGATTTAACATCAATTTGACTTATTCAGCTATTAAAATTTTATGACTGAATAAATTTGATATCAAGGAATATAGAGCAAAAATTTTTAATAGAAATTTTTAGTAAAATATTGAAAGTTATGGCATTAAATAGTAGAACAGTTTGTTTATGAAGATTTATTTTTTATTTTACAGTAAAACGTTCTTAAATCGAATCTCTTTATGAAATGTCGACCCAAGATTCTTTGATTCTTCTTATTTCTTTATAATTTCACTGAGTTTTTTTTACATCGTTAATTGTCATCACAGTTATATCTATTAAATGCCGATGAATAAGTTTTACTGAATGAAGAAAAAAATTTTTTGTAAAATAAAAAAGATGTCTTTTTATCTCCGATCCGACAGGACAACATAACGATTCTCAAAAAAACTCAGTCTCAAGTGAGTATAACCAACTCAGATTCGCATCACCTTTTTCTAATATACCTTAGATGGCATTTTTGGTTTCATTTTCGTATATGTAAACATAACTTACTATAACATAATATGGTATAACAAGAGACTAATACACAATTCAGCAATTATTATATAGAGCTCATTAAGCTAAAAATAATAAAAAAAATACCGCGTGTTACTGCAATTTTGAACCCAAAGAAAGCGAGCATTCTATGTATTATTGAATTTATTGAAAATATAATAAAAATTATTCAAAAAACAGCGAGTAAGCTTTCATAAAATTTGTAAAATCGACATTATTCGATCAATAGCAATGTTAAACATAAAATAAAATTAAAAAAAAAAACACATAAATAATAATCACAAGACAGTAAAGATCATTTTTATTTAAAAATAGGTTATACTAACAAAAAAAAAAAATTTTTTTTGTTTGCAAAATTTTTTAGTTTCTCTGCCAAGAAATTTATTAAAATGTAACAAACCATTGCATTAAGTAGGTGTACACAATAGGTAGTTCAAGTAATATTACTCCCATATAACATAAAAAATCTCATATTTTCTTAAACAATTCATAATTATCGACAGATAAACTCGAAATAAAAGATGATGTTAATATTATATATATTTGTACATCTACTATTATATCAAATATGATAACAAATTGCATATTATCAAACTTAATTTCTTGATTTCAACAGTATTACACATTGATGATGGCATTTATCATACTCAAATTAATGGCATCGAACATAGTTAGGATTAAAGTTAATACAATAAAAGGTTAACGAAAGCTAAAAATCTAAAGCAAATAGTTGACGAAACCATAGGACAAAATTAAGAGATAAGAAAAATTTTTGTAAAATCAACATATGAAAATGAATTTTTCTTATTAAGAATCAAGAGAAAATTTTCTTTCCGATATATAAAAACTTTGATGAGATTCGCACCTAGTATACGTTTATTTTATAGTTGTTCAATAAAGAATTCTGCGGTCAAGCATATTTAATGTCAGAATAAAAACCAAAATCAAATAAAACAAAAAAGTCAAAACATAAAAAATATTTGTTTATTTTTTAAATGTTATTGTATCCGTACCAAAAATTCTCTAGTTATTATAAGATTCATTCTTCAGATATAATGTTGTTGAATCAATGTCTGTATACAAAAATTTTTGGAAGCAATAGGGAATTGATGATATTTTAATAACTATATTGTAGGAAATCTTATTTCCTTAGGTGGTTAATCTTAATTAAACAATTTTCATACACCAAACTACGCTTCACTTTATGAAAAGAAAATTCTTATATAGATTTCTGGTCTGCACGACAAGAAGTATGCAACTACTGAAAATTTTGTACACACTTTTTTTTAGGAAAAATATAATTTTTCGAACAGTTTCATGTATTTTTTCTAATTTTATGTTTTCAGCTTATCAATTGTAATTGCTGAATTGTTCATTAATATTGCGTATTCAAACTCGTATTTTATTAAAAAGCGGATCATCGCAAATGTTTACCATTAAATCTGAAAATAATTCGGACCAAATATATTTTCTTTAAGTTTCTAATTCAAAAACAATCGGTTTTATTTATACACAAGAAAAACAAAAAAAATAATAAATGAAAAATTTAATACTTTTAAAATAAGAGAAGAAAATTTAAATGCAAAAACTACCGTCATCATCATCATCATGATTATCATTGCTGCCATCATCATCCATATGTACAAGTATATGTGGAAAATAAAGAAAATTTTTATGAAAATCTTTCTTTTATTTTTAGACAATTTTTTAGTTTATATTCGTATTTCTTTCTAATAACAACATTTTAAACTCCAGAAATCTTTCTATACATATACGCTTCTTAGTACACATATATATATATATACCAATATACGCTGTTTTGTTCTGCTTTTAGGAAAAATAAAACAAAACTGTTTTATACGTCATCACAATACACACATATACACAAATAAAAAGAAAAAATAGTCAATATGAAAGGAAAACCATTCGTAATTACAATATCATTTTTGATATTCTTAATTACAATTAATAATCAAATAGAAATAAGTGATGGTAAAATAACAACAAAACGTGGTAAAGTTTTTGATATGTGTGGTTTAGCAAAAGAATTACATAGATTAGGTGTACCAAGTATGGAAATTCCAGATTGGATATGTATAGCATTACATGAAAGTGCATATAATACAAGAGCAAAAAAAGTAAATCGTGATAAAAGTACAAGTTGGGGCCTATTTCAAATTAATGATAAAAGATGGTGTGAACCACCAGATATTGAATATGGTGTTAAAAAAGATTATTTAGATATATGTGGTATTGAATGTACAAAATTAATAACAGATGATATTACAGCTAGTGTTGAATGTGCTAGACATATTAAAGAATCAAATAAGAAAGGTTTTGCAAATTGGGCACTCTGGAGAAATAAATGCCAATATCATAAACCAGATGTTAAAATCTGTTTTTAAAATTTTTAATTTTCATTTATTTCTATTTTATTTCTAAGAATTAATTTTTATATAATATGTACCTAAATGAATATTTTAATCAATTGCATAATAAATGATGAGCTTTCTAATTCATGTTAAAATTACAAAAAAAAAAAAAAATAAAGATCAATTTGTTTTATTTGAATGCATCATATCCAAAAACTTCGGTATACGAGTAGCATTGTAATAATACAAAATTCAGTAATTACAAGTCATTAGCTGATTTGTATAATAATAAATTGTATAACAGTAATTTTAAAGCCAGGATAAGTCTGTTTCTTGTTGCTGCATAAATACACGTATGTATGTATGTATGTATCTAGCGATAATAAACAAAATTCATGTACTCATGTATGTATATTGCAAATTAAAAAAAATTTTTAAATGATTTAATTTCTTAATTTCTAATATTTAAGAAATAAAAAAAAAAACATTTCTCATGGGTAATCAGAATTGATGAGGACGTTTTGGTATAAAACAAAAATAAATATTCAAAATCATAATTTTTCTATATTTAAAATGATACGATATAAACATATGTACATACATATATATATATATAAATTAATAATAACTCGTATATTTTATTAGTATATTATTATAAATTCGATGCTATAAATATGAAAAATATATGTATATTGTTCTAATTTTGAATAAAAAATTAAAAAAGTGAAACTTTTTATATTTTATTTTGAAATTTTATCACGGTTTTTTTTTTCATCTTCTTCTATAAACATTCACAGGTGATAAAAATCTAGCAACACAATCGGATGGTATTTTATAATCAACTTCAAAATTACAGTATACTCACTAATATACAACCCTACTTACAAATTTACGGGAAATTTCAGTAATTTTTGCATTAATGTACAATTCAGCAATTAAAAAACTTACAATGTGTGTGCCGTACAGTATCAATACGTAGGTACATCAGAGTATTACTGAAATTTTGAAATCACGTTATCACTTACTTCATCTGACACTTAAACAAAAAAATTACAAAATCTTGGTTCTTGCTTTTATCGCAACATCTTTAATTTTGCAGTTTCTATATTGTTATTTTAAAGCTGGTGTCCAATAATTTATAAAAAGGATAGATTTGTTTTGAATAAATGTATGAATTGTAAGTAACACTTAGGGAATTATTGAGGCTTAAATTTATTTTTTTATTTTTCAAAAGAAAAACTAATTTATCGCTCGTACAGAGTGTTATAGTAAAAAACGAGACTTCACATTTAACAAATTCATGTTATACTATCCTATCAAATATATATTTAATATGTATAGAATGTATTTAGTTGCAACAATATTATATTTGGACTGCAATATATTACTGCGGCAATTCTTGTGCATGTTTTTGTTTATTTTGTTTAATATGTGTTGCCATCTTAAATGCAATGTACAAATTTTAGTGGTAGAATTGCATTTTCGCTTTCGAATTATCCTATTGTGTATTTGTTAAATATAATACACCAAATATAAGCTTCTCTTCAGTTCAGTTACTTCACTTGAAAATTCCGACAATTTTCCTGGTTTTACTTATTTCTTGCAATACTTAATTTTCCCATGTTAAATTTTCATCTACTGAAACCCCTAAATAATTCAAAGATTTTACAATTTCTAATTGGCAACTTCTGTAACTAATTTCAAGATAATCTTCGGGTTTCCGCTTAAACATTACTAATTTGGTTTTAATCGCATTCACTGTCAGCTTCGTTAATTCTGAATACACAATTTTAAATTCAGCACACCACTTTTATATTACATACATATATATACATATAATATCGTCGTTCCAAAGTGAACTGCTTGTTTTCAAGCTCGCTTTGAATTCCTTCATATTCAGCAAATAGAAATCTATCATCAAGGTAACTTTCAAACCGTAGGTACACTTTTCCGAAAGAGATCGAAAAGAGAGAAAAGTTTTTATCTATATGTAAGTATATAGCCAGTATTGATTTTGCAGCAGTTTCAGAATACGATTGTTAAGATTGTTAACAAAATCGTCAGTTGCTGAGATATCTCTACATGACTTGGACCAAAATTTATAGAAAATTTTTTTTTAATTTTTTACAACAGTTTTATTATTACTCTTAGAGTGCATTATTTTCTAATTTATAATGAGTTGAAAATTTTAGAATTTCAATTTGATAAAAGTGAATATTGTTTCCAAATACATATAACACTTATACCTCTAGGAGTAGTCAGCGAATTATGAAAAATTTAACCTCGCAATAAAAGTCTCGCTCGAACGACGGTATAGGTTACGTGTATGCAACTCACTTTACCATGTTACGTAGGTACTTCTTCATATTTTACAAAAATTATTAAAATTTATGTTCCAATGTTTTTAAATAAAAATTTATTAAAAAAAAAATAATGTTAATTTCTGGAGCAACACAAAGCCAAACTAAGCCTAAAAATTATTTGAAATAATTGCCGAAAATTCCCAAAATTTTATAATTTTCATTTCGTATATTTTTAAATTCAAATAAACATTTCAGATTATTCATTTCAATTCTCATAATTTATTAACATAAGATTTCATTTCTTTCGAAGCCAAATCAAAAGATTTTTTTTTACTTTCTCCGTCAATGGATCTAAGCAACGGATTTCAATTATTTTTAATTTACAAACTTTTCGCATGTAATTTTTTATAACGGGCATTGTTGAAATGTTACGTAACGTCTACAAGCGGAAAAAACTATAACTTTTGTTTTAAATTTCTTTTAAGTTTAATATTTTGTATTAATTACTTTTATTATGTAAGAAATTAAAAGTAATTTACCTGCAATGAATATAACTGTAATCTTGAATTTTTCAGTGTATATGCCGTTTTAATTAATAAAATAGGTAAATTCCAAAATTCGCGGCATCTGTATAATGCCTTAACACTTAATGTTGAATTTTGTAACCCTAAAACAACGTATTCAAGCACATCTTCCTCAAATTTTTCCGTATTTTGTAATATGTCATAAAATATTTTAACAATATCGTTTTCATCTGAAGCTTTCAGACCTTCTTTACAATTTAAAAGCAAAGCAAAGCATTTTATATATATTTTTAATAAGATCGATTGATGCACAATTTTCTTAAATAAAAAATCAAAATATTGCATCTTCATTGTAACACTCGGGTCAACATAAATCATTTGACTAAGATGTATAAATAGATCCTCGTCATGATTGGCTTCTGGTAAATTATTGAATATTGTTATAAGTTTACCCAAATGATTGTAATATATCATTTTTTTAGCAACTAAAAAATATCGAACATTATTATTATAATTAATGTATGTATATATATATATATATATATATATATATATATATATATATGTTAATGTAGGCATTTATGTATTTAAAGCTTCAAAAAATTGTTGTTAGCATTTCCTATATTTTACTTGTTGGAAATAAAGACAGGTTTCTTAATATATTTGAACCAAGCTTCAAAGTTGTTTTTTGACATAAAATAATTTCGTAAATTGTATCAATTAAATTGAATTGCTTCATCATCAATGAGGCGCCTTCATACCGACTCGAAATGATTACGAAATTTTTCAGAATTATATTAAATGTTGATGTTCCCCCACTTGATATCGGCATATTTCGATAAAATAGACTTTCAAGTCTTCTCGTATTATGGATGAAAAATTAATCTGATTTGTATGTATTGATAAATCATAAAATAAATTACCTTGTAATTATATGATATTTATATAAAAATTGATAATACAGAGTAGAATCATAAAACATATCATAAAGTGTATTTAATCCTTCGAAAATTGTAATTGGACAAGGACTCCCAATATTCTGAACTATACTTTTTATAGCATTAGAACCATATGGCAATTGTAATTTTTTCTGCTTAAAATTTTTAAAATGAATTTTTTCAAGATTTTTAACAGCTAGAAATTCAAAATTATTTCCTTCGACTCCACTTGATGAAAAAGAATTTTCTTTATAAAAATCTGCCATTTCTATAATTTGAAATTTCGAATTAAATTCTGTATATCAGAAAATATTTATGTATGTAACGTATATATGCACCTGTTTGTATAAATTTATTTATTAAAATTGGATTAAAATTCTCAATTCTAAAATTTAAAAATTTGTGCCTCGTGAATCTCCGATTAGACATAATAGCTGCTGTATTCATACTTATGTATATATACATACATATGTAAATAAAACTGCAAATCCAACTGAAAAATAAATTATTTTAAAATTTTCACAAAAAATTTTAATTAAGCTTGTTTGTACATAAATACATACATACATGCATGTATATGTAAGAATTGACAAAATTCGAAAAAACTATTTCGTTTTATATTTACACACATTTACATAACGTACATATATGTATAAGTGCGTTCATAGGTAAAATTTTGCTGACGGATAGACAAAGCTAAATCGACTGAGAATTCGACGCTGACCAAAAATATATGTTTGAGTCTATATCTCAGACCATTACTTCTTAGCGTTACAAACGGTAAGGCAAATTTAGTAAACCCTTCGAACATATTTTCGTACGAGCAGAAACTATTATATAGACTTAGAAATTCATACAAAAAGAAACGTGAACATTTTATTTAACTTTTCAGCTTTTTAAATTTTACTTTTAAAGTTTTCTAAATGGGAAATTTTAAAATATTTTCATATATAACAAAATATATGAAAAAATTCAAGTAGGTACAAAAATCAGATATTTTAAAAAACAAAAAATTAGAAATTTCCCTCAAAAAAATTTAATAAAACGCACATCAACATCATTACAATACACATCACCACATAATTATAATAAATATGTACATATATATGTAATTCAAAAATTTTCCAAAAATTTCAAAATTTTTTAAATCTTGAAATCATTTTGTTCAGTTCATATGATTTGATTTTCAACATTTTTTTTTTAAAAGAAGACTATGTTTAAAATTATAATTTGCCTTACCGTTTGTAACGCTAAGAAATAATTCTGTCCGTCCGTCCGTCCGTCCCAACGGTAACTCAAAAACTAATTGAACCAAGTTCACCAAATTTTCACAAATGACTTATTGTAGTAAGTGCCAGAACCCTATTTAAATTGGAAATGATCGGGGTACTGGTTTGGGTAGCTGCCATGCAACTTCAAAATTTATTTGGCTATATCTTAGAAACTATAAAAGCTATGATATTGAAATTTCACACAAGCAAATATATTAGTACGGCCGATCTGCTTGATAAAATTCGTTAAAATTTCTTGGCTCTTTCTTGTAGCTGCCATACAACTTCAATAGTAGTTTTTCACGCACAGTATTTTGAAAAACACAGTACTGAAATTTTGCATAAATTAATATGATAATACGGCAACTTAAAGTCATAGTCTGTCCCATAGTCAGTTATGGCATCTTTATTCCCACATAGGATAACAAATTCGTACGGGTATCACAGAGTTGACAAGGTCAACTCTATTTTTTTTTCTCGTTTTTTTTTATTATTAAAAGTACTGACTGCGATAATATGTACACATTTTCTCATAGTATACGTAGACACTCACACATAGATATTTATTTTTTATGAATAAAATAAATTATTTAGAAATCGAAAAGATTTCTAAATCAAAAATTTTTTGTTAACTAAAGTAGCTAACAAAATTAATAAAGCTGGTTCAAACTAATGGTTTGTAAAGGAGCAATTTTCCAAGTTAGAATACTGCTTTTAAAAAAACTAGAGGCGTTAGCATAATGCTCGTTAAGAAAAAAAAACAAATTTCGAAAGGCAATAACTTACGTGGAGTTGAAGAAAATTTTTTTATTGGTATCCAAAAGCTACCAAAATTTCAGACTTCTGGCACCTATTTTATAGAAGAAAACCGATATCAAAAACTTAAAAAAAAAACTTTTGTAACGTTTAATTTTAGCAGTAATTTCTTTTTAATATTCAGTTATGCTGTAACACTGTAAAAAAAGCCAGCCGCAACTTTTTTGCGTTTTAAAATTAACTGAAAATGATTGTGGTTTCTTTAAAATAGGTCTTTGAGATATTATAACTTTCAGAAGAAGCTATCCCTTCTAAAAAAAAAAAAATTTTCATTTTATGGAAATAAGTTTCTAGTCCCAGAAAATCCATTTATACCTATATTATGAAATTTCAGCTTGCTACCTTCAAGGGTGTAGAAGCTAAGCAAACGGTCCATGGACGGATGGGCGGACAGAGGGAAACTACAAGCACTTATTTTCCAAATATTTGAAGAGTCCTAAAAAAACTATTTTTTATTAATTTAATCTAATATTAATTAATTTAATTTAATCGACATTATTTGAATCAACTTCATCAACATCATTTGTAAAATTATTTTAATATTTTTTAAAATCCTCAAAATATTAAAATTTCAATTTTTTTTTTACGTTTCGTTTTCAAAACGTAAAAATTCTAACCAAAAACTGTTTCAATTCAGTATCTCCTTCTTATTTCTGATACGGGTTTCTACGGGTCATTAATTTTGTTTCTCCTACCTTATACTACGTTTTATATACATAATTCGTTGATTTGCTATGTGAATAAGCGACATCTGTTAATCAATAAACTTACTTTTATTATGTTAGTGATGTCTGATTGTTTCGCTAATTACTTTCCATATTTGACACAATATGCACAAAGGCTGTATATTATAATTTGCTAAAAGCAAAATAAATACATATATTGGGCTTTGGAATAATTTGGTATAATTTAATAAATTAAAAGAACCGAATAAATATGTAACGCATTGTGGATCCATGTTGATACCTTTTCGCTTTAAGCCGCAAATAATGGCTATCAGGAAAATAAAAGGGATTTTTTTTTTATTTTATGCGAATATTAAAAAAAAATAACCTAAAAAATTTGGCTGAATGTTATAAAATATTGAAATTTTTTTTTAATTTAATTGTTTATAATTATGTTTTTTGAACAAGTTATAAAAATATTTACTTCCAAATTTCTGAACAGCTGATTCAAAATGAAACAAAAGAATTTTCTGAGCAACATTTCATTTTCGATATTTCAATAACTAAAAGATGGCTTCTGCAGAAATCTAAAATATTTCAATAGATATAATACTACTGACAGATATGTAATATCGACATTATAGTATCAATATCAATATTATAATACTCTCAGATCTTATAATATTAAAGTTATAGTGATCATTCAGTGATAGACACAAACGTAATATTAAAATTTTGTTGCTATAAGTTTTTTTTTTTAAAATTTGAAATCAAATTATGAATATATCAAATTATTCAATTTTAAAAACTTCAAATTGAAAAAATTGTTAATATATTTGTCAACAGAGTGCTCTGGCAGACAAAATTGCTATTGTAATTACGTGAAATCCGAAAATGATTTTCATGTACAACGAGTGCGATCTGAACATGCTTTGATGATGTTAAAAACTTAGTAGGTCCTTTTAAAATACGGTACTAAATTAAAACTCAGTCATTCTACCAAAAATTGTTATTACATTTATTTTAATTATTATATTGTTATTTATGTTTACGATATGTTGAATAATTTTTAACTCACATTTTGACGATGTCTACAAATAACTTGTCAATAAATAAAAAAAATAAATCAGTTATTTTTTGGCAACGTCAAAATTAAGTTTTAAATAAATGAGTTGTGTCACACTCGTTCTATGAAAATATTTTACAAATTTTACTTACAATTAAAGTTACATGTATTTAAAGGTTTTATTACATTATTTTAAATTCAAAGTCAAATTAACAAAATATGGAAAAAATATTTTATTCAAAAGTTAATACAGGCTGATTCACCAACAAGCTGGGAGCCATACACTACCGGGTAGAGGATCAAAAATGAGTAAAATTTTGGTTCAGAACATAGTGTTATATCGGAACCTTTTCTGAGCTAAAGGGGTATAAGAAAAGTTGGCGAAATTTTAATATACTTAAGTGTTTTTGTCTATAACTTCTATTCTAAAAAAGATAGAAGTTTCAAACAAATAGTTTTTAAAAGAGCTTTAAATTAAGAAAACTGGATTATTTGGTTTTAAATGTTTTTTCGGAAATACAATCATTCGAATTTTAGAAAAATTCCAATTTTCCTCATTTTTTATTTTTTACCTCATTTGTCCCGACAACTTTTCATGAATATTTTGAAACTTCCAAAAATTCTTAACACTTCTTATTGATGTAAAATCAAAATTTGTAGCAAAATTATAAGAATTAAATTTCAATCTAAAGTTGCGGGCCGCATGTTTGACATGCCTGTCGTAAGTATTAAACAATATTAAACGCAAGACAATCGATAAGATCGTTATTTATAATCTAGAGAAGTATCGATAATATCGTTATCTACATTATACTAAGTCGATAATATCGTTATCTAACTTATACTAACAAGCTGGAAACATTTTTGCTTTATATTTGGCGTATATAGAAAAATACTCAAATCTGATAAAGTGCCGGAAATTCCTACATTTGAAATATTTGCTAATATGTGAATATATTCCTTTCTCAAACACTAAAATATATATTACAAAACTGCTGCAAATATTAAATCGCTGGCTATAATATTAATAATACTATTTACTACCTTTACTAAACAAATATGCAAATTTGTTAGAAGAAAGTAAGAAAGATACTGTATATATTAATGGACTATTGCCTTTACATGTGTTCAATTCTAGGAAATTTAGACAAGAACGTACCAGAAACATTTTTGTGCAAGCTGGGTGTGATAGAAAATGCATTGGCTGTATATATTTTTGAAAATTTGTCCGTTTGCATAATGAATCTGGCGTCTTCACCACATAGTTCAGCAACAAAACGTATATGTATTTTCTGATCTCAACTTTTACACTCAATATACAATATAAGTTTTATTTTGTATTTTAAGGAATTTGCTATAAATAACAAAACTCAAATGCTGACTAAAGCAAGTTAATTTGTACCACATAAGATGACTTAGTAAAATAAATTCTACTCTATGAGGCTAAATACATTTTTGCTAGAAATTAGATACATTTTGTTTTTAACGCTTGGCAGCACTGATAGTAAATCAAATAAGTTACAAATAGTGGATTGCGTAAGAGTTGAGTAAACACTCTAAAATTTCAAAATGTTTATTTCTCTTCAAATTTTTATTGGTAATATGCTATCAGGAGGAATTATGTGGTTTTCGAAAAAAAGATAATTCAAGTGGATATCGCTATGGAAATTTATATAATAAACTTGAAAGTATGTATGTAAAAGAGGTTCATTACAACATATTACAGCACACTTCTATCGTTTTCCGTGTTCTTTCTACGATAGACAATTTAAATATGGTAAGGAAAACATTGATTTGCAAAATTTTATATTATCTTGGATTTTGAAACTTTAAAAGAATAAAACATTTGTGTTAAATCATGAATTACGAATGATTAGAATTGTGTGTACATATGTGACCACATCATAAGTTGGTAGATACTTTTTGTACCAACTTATCTACGAAATTCATAACAACTCTATTTTGAAAACAAATTGTGGTCAAGCTTTGAATATTTTGTGGTTAGTGATTTATTAAACTCTTACAGGCAAGCGCTTTAAACGAAAATGTTGATGATGTAATACATGGAAGAATTATTCTTTCGCCATTAGCTCGAGATATTATCGAAACGAAAATATTTCAACGCTTAAAAAAAGTTAAACAACTTGGCTGTACCTATATGTATTTTCCAGAGGCGACGCATACTAGATACGAACATTGTATCGGGTTAGTATACTACTGTACGATTAAGTTGCATGTTGAAAACCAAAATATGTAGGTATCTACCTATGAATATTAATTTATTTGGTTTGTATTCTTGTAGGACGTATTTTTTGGCAGAAAAAATGTTAAGCTATTTATCAAAAAACGTATGGATTCCAGAATTTTACAGGACCTGTGTTTGTGTAAGAAAATTATATACAACCAAAAAAAAATATATAAATCTATTAATGTTTTACAATAGACATGTTTATAACTCAGGTTTGTTTTTTACTTATAATAATTTGTTATTGCAGATTGCTGGTCTTTTACACGATATTGGACATGGACCATTTTCGCACTTTTGGGAAGAAGTTTGTAAAAAATTAAAGAAGCAATACAAAGTATAAAATGGGATTATGAATTAGCTAAAAATTTTTATAAATTTATCAATGTTTTAGCATGAAGAAAATAGTTTAATGGCTGTAGACTATATATTCCGCGATATCCGGTTGTCTAAAAAGACAAATGAACATGATTTTGGTGTAGAATTAATTAAGGCTTTTATAAGAGGTGATAAAAATATGTTAAACAACCAAATAGATCCTAAGTATGGTTTTCTTTTCGAGGTAGGTAAAAAATAAATTAAGATAACTAAAATGAAATGTGAACAATATACTTTTATACAAAAAATATCTTCAACTCAATTTTTCATGGAATTTGCAGATAATTTGTAACGAAAAATGTGGCATCGATGTGGATAAATGGGACTATTTGCTAAGAGATTACTATCACGGAAAGAGATATTTATCAGGACTCAATTTGAATATGGAATTTGGAAAACTTTTTGAGAGTAAGGAGAATAACTTATTATTTTGCCTAGTAAATTTTTAAGTGAGAAAATCTAATGGGTGTAACTACATATTAATCATTATTTATTTTACTTGATTTGTAGATGCTCGTGCTGCCCAAGATGGTTCCCACATCGAATTTCATCGCCAAAATTATAACGATATTTATTATTTGTTTGATGCTAGGTCAAAGCTTCACATTAACTTATATCAAGAGCCAAATGTTAAAATAAGAGAACATATATTATTCAATGCAATTAAAGAATTTTGTAAAGGAGGCTGGGAATTTAAAGGGTAATCAAATTCTGCTTACAACTTTTTAAATTAATTTTAATTTTGAACATAAGTTCATATTTTTTAATTCTCATTTTTGAACTAAATTACTATTAACACAGGATTTTAAAATTTTTTAAATTTTTATACACTTTGGTAGTTAAAAATCTCAATGTACATACTTCGCAGAAAGTATTTTTTTTTTCGTACAAAATTTTTCAAACAGAGATATCTCAGATTTTGTCGAATATGTAAATTGTATTGTAAACATTGTCGAAAATGTAAATTGCTTTATACAGCTTAAAGTTCAAGGTACATAAGACGGTATCACTTGAGCTGATTGGATAATATGTACATATTATTAAAAAGTTGCTATTTTAGCAAAATTTAGTGTATCAAAAACTTTTACAATCTTAAAGCGGTTAAAACATAAGTATGTTTTTCTTGGTTATGTCAGAAAATTTTATTTCTAAAATTTTTTTATCAACAATAACATTTTTTCAAAACTTTTAATGTAAAAAAAAATAAAATAAACCAGTTCACAAATGAATTTTTCTGAGTCTCACATTTTTATAATCTAAAATCAAAATTTTCAATATATTATGTTGTACATCTAACAGGATGTGGCTTAAGATTTTCAAATTTAACAATTAATGTAAAATGGTTCAAAGTGAATTTATGAAAAATTCATTCTTTTCATTATAGGGCACAACTTTTACAAATAAGCTGTCAAACTGTTGAAAAATTTTTGCATATGACAGATGATGAAATATTGACGGCTCTGCAAGAGACGGGCGACCAAAATATTAAGAATTGGTTGTTGTTTCTGGGAAATATTTTCATCAAAGAAGCAAAGGGTACATCTGGAACTCCGATAGACATTAAAATTGAACTTGGTGGAGAGAAAATGGCTGAAGAATCAATACCATTTTATGGAAGCCCCTTAATGGCAGATAATGTAAAGCCTATGAAAGGGTTTTATGAAAATAGACATTATTTCAAACTAAGTGAATTTCAATAACTATAAAAAAGGAGTATTGTACTTACTAATGTTTTAAATCTTTTAATTTTCTTGTTTTCTGAACCAGAGTTTTAATTTATTAGTTTCATTTATATGTTTTTTGATGTTACATATTTGTATGTGTGTATGTACATTCCATTTATAATATATACGTTATATACATACATACATGACTACATACTTTACTACATTTATGTTGATTATTTGAGTTGCATTATTTTAATATGTTTTTAATTTTAATTACACAATTTAAAAATTTAAATATTTACATACATATGTATATATTTTTATAGAAACAGTTATAAAAAATGTTATATATATAAATCTAATGTTTTTATATTGAATTTTGAAAATAAAAAATTGTACCTGTTTCGTATATAATTCTGTCTCTTGAATTGCTTCTTAATAAAAGAGCTAAAAGCTCATTGGCGTTGTCACGGCCCAAAAAGGCCTGCATATACCATTTGTGTAAATCCAAACAATATTACTTCGAATTCCTTTTTTGCAAAATTGATAGTTTTGAATTATTTCGGTTGACGATAACCTCACAAAAAATCAATAAAGACCTATAAAAATTAAATACTAAATGATTTTTTTATGAGAACAAACCATCAATTTCACCATACATACATAAATTCATTCCACACATTTTTGATATATAAAATAAAAAATATACCTAAATTGTAAAATATAAATTAATGTGTAAACACTTCAAATTTAAAGTTTAGTCAACAACGTACGTACGATTATTAAAAAATGTCAAAAGTGGAGAGTTTTCATATGGTCTCCAAATGGTGTTGTGTTGTGTCAAATGTGAATAATAATAAAAGCAAATGAAAATCGAATTATACTTCAAAATATTTTGTCGCGAAATATTTTTTTTAATTTTTTATTGAAAATAATTTAATATTTATTGAAAATATTCATTATTATATCTTATTAAGAAACTATGTAAAACATTTACAATATTAAATATTATAAGAGTCGTCAAATGTCAAAAGAATGTACGATAAGATTTTTAATAATTACCAGAAAAGAAACTAAAATTTATGAAAGTAGAAAAAAATAGTGAAAAAATTCTTATAAGTGGATAGGGGTCCGGTGCAATATAATAATTTTGTGTTCTTTTTCTTCATTGTTATACTTCATATTATAATATTATCTCTAGTTCTGTTTTATTATTAATATTTTGTTGGGGTAAAACTAAAGGATGTCATAACAAAAAAAGTATTACTACTTTAAAATTACAATGCATTTATATATATATACCTATATACGTATGTAGCTATAAAATACGTAAGTATACATATATTATTAAATATTCAAACTCAAAGTGCATACTGAATTCATAAATATTTTAAAAAAATATTAATGAAATGTATTTTGTTATATCTGAATACATAAAATATAAATACATACATACATATATGTATAAATATGTAAACATTCGAAAAATAAAAAAATTATTATTATAGGTAAATATATCATCCAAGGGCTATTTAAATATAGTTTGGATCATCAAATTGTCAAATATTAGAAGCTGTCTGAAGAAGATTGGCTTAAAATATTTAAGTACCATTGCTTAATGTTCTTCCAAAACTTCAATTATGTACAATAAATCAGGCACGGTTTCCTTTATCAAATTTTGTTGATCGTTCCTTTTTTATTTTTTTTTTATACTTTGTTGAAAGTTTGATTTGCAAATTTCCGCGAACTTCAATGAAAAACTATAATACCATTCAATTCTAATCAAATAAAGTTCATGATCATCATTTGATATCTAAATTCTGTGTTACATGCGTTTAAAACTGTAATAATCGTAAACTGAATAAGTATTTAAGTAGGTAGATAACAACCTATTGATAGTCGTATGGATCTACTACTATAAAAAAGAATAAGAAATAAATGCAAGTCAATTAATAGGTCCATATTAGATAGATCCATAAATATATTAGAGAGGCATATATTCAAATTCCTATTTTCAATTCAAAATATAGTGATGCATAATGAAATACAATATAAATTGAATATATTATGTAATTCAATGACTGGAATTAAAGTTTTTCAAGTAGTCTTAATAAAGGTTTTTTATCAAAACATTCGTTAGCAATTTTTTTTAAAAATGTTAAACATTTTAAGATAAATAACTATCATTAAATATCTACTACATTTTAAAATTCAATAGCTTAATCAAAAACATTTAATTCACTACGCATATATAAGTGGGCTACATACAGATATTGTATGAAAATTTTTTGCTTTTTGTCTACAACCTGACTTTACAGCAATAATTTTAAAGAATGTTAAATAAATTATTTAATAATAATTATAATGTTATAAATATAGTTTTTATATTTATGCAAGAAATTGATTTAGAAACAATATTTAATAGCGAATTAGAAGTTGCATAAGAGGTCTAAGTTAGTTTGATATACATACATACATGCATAGCCTATTGAATTCTGAACTTTTCTTCTATGTAAGTAGGTAGGGTATCCCTACCCCACCTATTATATGAATAATGGTTTATGTAAAAGTACAATGTAATTTATTAATTAATATCTACATTTAATTTCATATAATACACATTTAAATGTATGGAAATGTATATTTGTAAATTATACTTGTAATGTTTATAATTTGTTTTCTTAAAAATGTTTACTGCGTATGTTTAATTGCGTATTTTTTTAAATTTGTTAGCATAAATAGGTGTTATAAATTAAAAAAAAATTCTCGTATAAATATCTATGTAGTTAGGTACCAACTTAACGTTTCTTGGGCGAATTTCGAGGTTTGCATAGAACAATTTTACATTTTTTAAAAAATATACATATTTTGCATTGGATGTGCATAAGATTTATAAAATTGTTACAATAATTAAAATATTTAATTTACAAGCATTGAAATCTCTTTTTTCGAATGCATATGCGTTTATTCTTTTTTGTTAAATGAAGTATCTAACGTCCCAAAAATCAACAAAATGATTGCACAGTTAAAAGAACAAACTAAACAAAAAACATAACAAAAGAAAAAAAAAACGATGATGTAAAAAAAGAAAATGTATAAAGATGAGGGGAACATGACATTCAAAAATATTTTGCGTGAGGTAGGACTGACTGGACTACCACAATTTTTTCTTTCTCTTTACGTTTTTTGTTTTTTTTTGTTTTGTTTTCTGTTATTGTTATATTTTTTTTTGTGAATACATTATGGTATAGGTATAAGAAAGCTAAAAGGATAACATTATTTTGTGTGTTTTGTTGTCTGTATGTACCGTATGTATGTAGATAAGTAAAAAAAAAATAGATATAGAAATTTTTCTGATTTTCTAAACGGAAGTTTATTTAATGTAATTTGTGTAGAAAATTATGAATGGATGGTGTATTTAGGTATATTTGGAATATCTAGTATAATAAGTATATGTACATATGTATATATTATGTATGTGTTATATTTTGATTTACATTAATGTATACTCATTTGAGGACCAATTTTTCTTAACCGCTTTTCTTTTTATTTTTAATATTCGGCTTTAAAATTTTAAATATAATAACAAAATTTTCAATGATTAAAGCTAAGATTTGCGCGAATTTGTTAATGCTTTATTGGAAATAATTTTTGAAATAGCTACTTTTAATGATACTCTTATATTAGTTAATGAAATAGGTTCTTTATACGATATGAACACTTTTTTCTTGCTTCTTAGTGTGATTTAAATCTTCCAAATGTTTTTATTAATCGTTAAATAATTTAGAATATTTTTTGCGTATTTTATTACATTGAATAATTTATTTGCAACCATTTTGACTACTCATGGACGATCCCACTTCTTAGAGTTGTATCTCAATTTATTTTGTTTTTTTAAGTAAGCTTGCAAAATATCCAACTGGTTTTAAGTCCGTTGATTTATGAGACCAACCAAAAAGATTAACTTAAGAATTATTTTTTGTTTTTTTTTTTTTTTTTTTTCAATATAATGCATTAGATAATGGTTTTGTATGAAACAAATCTAAATGTGTTTAACTAGAAGTCAATAATATCTTCTAGTTATAATACTAGAGCCTTATAATATGTTAATTAAATTATAAACTCGCAATAGTAAATTGATTCTTCCTAAAACCTCCAACAGATAAACCTAAAACCATCTCAATATTACATTTATCTGATATTGGTTAATTTAAAGAGATCTAATTTAGATTAATTGAAACACATTATATCCCGATATGCCGAATTTCGTGTAGTATTTATATATAAGTATAGAATGTTACTTAATCTGTTTTCAAAGTTATTACAACCGTTGGAATACTGGGATTTATTGAGCCCTTATTTATAAAAATTAATTATAATATTGAAGTATATACAGAAACGATTCAATGTTTAGGGAATAAAACTCATGAGCTTCTGTTACTTTTCTATTCGCTACAATATTAGTGCCAATTAAATTCTTTTGTCATTTTGCAAAAATAAGTCGCTAATTAATCAAATTCTTGTTTGAACATTACCTGTTAATTTATTGAATTTTATGTATTTTGCATATTTTTAGGGACATGTACGTATAAAGTATCAGGATCGGTTAACATTTTGTTTGAAACTTATTTGAAATGGACGAAATTTTTTTAAAAGTGTGACCGTAATGTGATTTACTATTAGTAAATTTTTCAGTTTTATTTTGCATTTTTGTTTTATTAACAAATATACAAAATAAAACAAATAAAAATAAAGGCCGTTCTTTCTATGTGGGTACGCAAGGACAATCATAAGATATTTGATTACTATTTATATATATACATACATCACAGATATTTGATTGAAATAATACATACATCTGTATATAATTCAATAATTTTGAGTGGTAATCATTTGTACAAAATCAGAAGTATTCACTAAGAGAAAGTATCGATTTATTCTTAATTTAAATGTATATACACATATGCTTATATATGTACACACATGCATGTAGCTATATTAATTTGAAAAATAAAAATATGTTTCGGATATTGATGCGAATATCCTTGAAATATTTCTTACGTTGTTTCTTTATTCCTTTTTACCTTGTTCAAAAAAGAGATATGTCCTTGATATTTTTATGCAAGTATATAAAAATAATAAAAAAAAAATCAAAATTATAAAATTCAAAGGTTATTTTTCAAATTAAAATTAAATATTTATGGCTACATATTATTTATGTTTTGTACTTAAATTCTTAATTTTGAAAGAAATATATTCCATTTTTTAATTGTCTAGTTTTCTTTTTTTTATTTCGGTACTATATTGAATCTTTATTACAGAGCTGGTACCAACTCCCATTGTTTAGTTTGTTTTTACAAGAAAATTTAAAAAATACAGTTTGATGTAAATTTTAAAATTTTCTAAAGACGAAA